TCATTTGCTGTCATCCTTTCTTAGTAGCCAGGCTGCATCCCTGGATAGGGGTCTGGTGTGATTTTTTTTAATCCTGGGTTCCCCCATGAAATCCATATCATGGGCATGTTGGGTATCTATTTACTCGTTGTAACCTCATCTCAAAAAATTATGGTTTTATATAGTGTTTTGGGGTACTAAATTTAACTGAAGTGCATTTTCCACTAAATAGTTGGGTTTGATAATAAGTTGCGCTAATGTAGTGCAACATAAAAATTTGCAACTGACACCATTTTATTCTACAGGGCGTTGGCTTTCAGAAAATATATAATGTTTGGGGGTTTTAAGTAATTCTCAGGCCTAAAATGTGGATTATATCATGGGTGCAAAAATGAAAACAAGGCCTTTGTCCTTAAGGGGTTAAACATTTGATATGTTTTCTATTGTGAATAAAATATGGGTTTATGGGATTTGCAAGTCATTGCATTTGGTTTTTATGTAGATTTAGACAGCATCCCAACTTTTTGTGAATTGGTGTTGTAGTATTGCCCCAGCCCAGCCCTCTCCTACTGAACACAAATGGTCACTGGATGCAACTGCTGGTATTTGGGGATATGCTGGCCAGTGGCCAACACAGAAGCCCAAGGACAATCACATTGACCTGCCTCTAATATAGGGGTGGGCAAATCCGGTCCTCCAGCTGTGCTTTAACTACAAATCCCATCATACCTCTGCTTCTGGGAGTCATGCCTGTAGCTGTCAGTCTTGCAATGCCTAATGGGGCTGGTAGTTCGACAACAGCTTGGGTGCCGGAGTTGCCCACCCCTGCTCCAGCATCCATGGTCAGCTTTATAGGCAAAACTATATCTGATCTCACAAAGATTCAACAAATTCCTTTAATTTGATCCACTAGTGACAGATTAAACTGCAACTGAAGCCAAACCTCTTTGGATAGAATGGAGAGGAATTGCAACACCCTACAGATTTATATTGCTGTCTGTGTCCCCATTAGGGAGATTCCCCCTCTCTATGTGTCCTGGTGACTGTTATCACTGAAAGTGAATGAAAATGCCAAATCTCAGGTTGTCACCAAATCAATAATCAATGGAAAATCTTCCAATGAGGATACTAGTTCTGGTGACCCTGCTGCCGCCAGGGATTTCCCTCACTCTGAAGGGATTTCCTCTCACTTGCTGTGCCTATCGGACAGGAAGTGAAGAGAAAGGGACACAGATAACCCACCCTTACTCTATCCAAAACTTAAAAAAAAAGAGTTTTGGTTCAATTCTACTTTAAATAGCAGATACCAAACAAAGTTGATTTCCCAAGATGATGGAAAACCAATCTCGGTGGATGATCATTGGTGACCAGTGGCGTCACAGGGGGGAGGGGGCTGCAACCCAGTCCAAGTGATACTATCAGAGGGGGTGAGACACCACAATGACTGACAGTCATTTTGAGGTCACCCCCTCTGAAAAGTCGGACACTTGGTCATGGACTAAGAGCCCGACAGCTGCGCAAGAGAGGAGGGGACCCGTTGGTACACCTTATTCCACTGGATGAACGTTCTCTCCTCTCTTTGGCAGCGTCTATCACCAAGATTGCTGCCGGCAGTGAAGTGCACGTGACTTCATTACCCTCATGCGTAATGACGTCACGTGTATGCATAATGATGTGTGCATCGGGTGACACCCGGCCTGGTGACGCCACTGTCGGTGAGAATTGTAATCTATGTGAATGATAGCACAGAGTGGAGAACAGTAAAATCACGGTGACAGCTGCTCCACACAGCTTACAAGTTTGGGGGAAAATAATTTGATCTTCAATCACCGACCATTGCTATTTTTAAGCGCCGCCGCTATTTTTAAAATTGTCTGCCCTCATTGATTTAAACTGACTACACACCCGCAAAACTTAGTTTAAAAAATTAATTTTCGGAATGTTTGATCGATTTTAATTGGAGCAAACTGTCGATCATTTTCGACCCTATGGATGAGAAGATTTGAAGGCTCAGGAGCAAATGTTTTTTTTCTTTCCTATCTGAACTAACAAGATTCTAATGTGAATTTAATTTCTGTTTGGGAAAAATAGTCCATGTTCTAGGCACAAAAGAAGCCTATTTAGTATATCTCAGATTCCATGCAAGTAGCAGGTTTGGTCGAAATTGAAGGAGCTTTTGAACTGAATTAGTCGCCCCAATGATGGCAAGACTGAAAGCTCTGCTGAACGTTTTTATAGAGTTTCCAATGCAAGTTTGTCTAAAGTTCTACTAGTGTACGGCCAGCTTTAGGGTAATCATTTTACACAGTGAAGAGAAATCGGTCTGGTTGCCCTGAATTGCAGCGCTCTACGCTCTATCATCGCCCTCTGCTCGGCTGGATGAGATAATCCCATGTGTGTAAGAATGTTTGTACTCAGGCGTCCCCCTGCCAGTCCCATGTCCCTGCTATGCAGTACAGGCGAAGGATCAGTACAAGGCTGATAGACTGCAGAGAATAGGTGGAGAATGGGACGGGCCAGTGGGGGGAGTGTCACTACCTGTCTTTTACCTGTTAGCTGGGCTGGGAAAGAGAAAGAAAAAAAAAAAAAACAAGGGGGGGAAGGGGTGGAAGGAAAAAAAAAAAAGAAGAATTACCAGTAGCTCTTGTTCTGCCGTCTCTTTCCTTTCCACACACCTTTACCTGCACAGACTTGAAAGTCCAGTTCCACCAGAGAGCTAGAGAGAAGATAAAGGGAGAGTTCATTGGATCAAACATGTCACAAGAGACGGACAAGTAAGTGATCATACAGGTTTTGGGATCTTGTGGCAGTCACAAGCTGGGAATGTTTTTTTTTCCTCATTCCTCTGCGTTCCTTGCTGTTGGACCTGATCTGCAGGGAGCCCGAGTCTGCTGACCCCCCTACCCCCTGCAGCTCCCCTGATCAGAAACTCTGCTGGAATATTTGGCTTTTGAGAAAGTTTTTGTTGCCTCTGACTGCGAGTTTGACCTGGACTGTTTCTACCTGGAGAGCTTCCCGGAGGCCGCTGGGACAGTGTGCACTGCTGGGAAAAAGGGCCTGGCAAGGGAAAGAGAGAGATTGGCTTTTGTGTTCATGCAACAAAAGGCTTTTTCTTCTGCTGCACAAAACGGCCATCTTCTGGGATGGGATCTTGAGCAATGGGGGTACATAGGGCGGGTGGGCTGAGGAGAGAAAAAACCCCAAAACAAAACAAAAAAAACGGCAATTCAGATGATTAGCACTCTATTCCTGCAGCCTGTACTATCACTGACCCCGTTCTATTACTATAATTAACTTTTTTCAGGTTCTTTCATCTCTTTTTTGTACAAATACATGAATTGCAATTATGCTTGTGAATTTGACTTCAATGTGCTAAGTTGATAAAACTTTTTAACTTTTTAATAATGAATATAATTGTGTTTATTAATTTATTTTTGTAGTCATTTTGCATTCAGTTAATTTAGCATGCTGGTATTTTAGAATGGGATTATGCCGCAGAATTCTGTTCGATTATGATATTTCCTTTCTTGTTATTATTTAACCGCAGTGCCATATGTTTGATAATAAAATCACATTATCTTCACATTGGGCATAGCTGGTGCACCTCACACATTTCCAGCTTGCCATTATGCAGATGTAGTGGAATTTCTGCTAGCTGACAGCCTGTAAATGGAAAGGCATGCTTGGACTTGTAGTTCAACGATGCAGAGACATGGGATAACTGTATGGTCTAAAAAACATTTTTTAGTCCCTGAACCCCAGGGGTACTTCCAGAAAATGTGCAGGGTACCCCTGTCTCATCAAACGAACGTAGCTATTAACAGTTAACCATTTTAGCGATTGATATACATTATGAACAACGCGTTTTAATGCACTTGATTTATTTTCAAGGGGCTGTGTAGAAAATATGGGCATGCATTCTGGTGGTAATGACAGTACACACAATTTAGTACAGAAGAGCACTTGACATACACCCAGCGGATACTGCTAGTTATTTAGAATGGTAGTTGCTAACAGAGAGACAGAATTGGTGAGAAACACATGCTGGATAGGTATGTTGCACCGTGGAAATACTTCTCACATCCCTGTCACAAGGGCCAGTGTGGCATTTTCGGGAAGAGTCAACATTTTGGGTATGATCTGTGTAGTAGAGGCTATTTCATACCTGGGCTAGGTCATTAGGATTTGTACACTTGATTCTATGCCCCAGGCAGAGTGACTGAAGACTTTGGAGACAAGTCAAGACATTCAATCCTCTGAGCTCTGTCCTTCATCTGCTGTTAGGATTATCTCATCATGCCCTTATTAGCTATTGTTCCTGGCACCAAGAATGCACCATGGACAATGGAAGTGAGCGGACAGTGACTCGGAATTCCAGCCATGTCCAAACAACTCTTCTTGTTTATCAGATCAACAAAACAAAACATCCTTGTGTGATCCCAAACTATGTAAAGTGAGGTGAGGGACACTTCTCCAAAACATACAATTGACGATAATCCAGAGATTGTAATAATGGGTCCACCCAGAGCAGCTATAAAACGCTGCAGGCATCAGAATAGATGGAGCCGATATACTGATTACCCCAGCAGCAAGCTCGGGCAAGTTAACACTCAGATCTGCATCTCGAGCATGGCATGGTGCAGGTAAAGCATACGGGAACCCCTTCCCCTTCACTGCATGGATCTAAAGGGGAAAAGCTTGGCAGATTTTGCTGGATTCCACACTTCTGAATGTTGTTGTACATGGAAACATAATTTAGGATAGTACAGCTGACCACACAGATAGTACAGCTGACCACACAAAACATACTCAATCTATCTGTTCCCATAAAGAGTCTATGTACAGATGGGTTGCAAAATTATGTCCAATTTTCTGCACATTTCTGCTGGTAAAGTTGAGGTGAACAGAGGTGGCATGGCACTAAGCAGTACTTCCTCATAAACACATATAAAGAATAATAGACGTGTCTGTCCAGTGAACAGGAGTTTATTGTTTTCTATTGCTTTATTTTGTTCTAGCTTAAATACACCTATAGAGATTCCTTGACTGATGGATGATAATGGTGAAATTGGGAATCATGTCCTGGCTGATTGATAATTGGGGGGGGGGGGGGGCGGCA